CAATCCACAAGCGAAATACAAGGACCATCCACAAGCCAAATACACCGGCCACCCACAAGCCAAATACTCCGACCATCCTCAAGCCAAATACACCGACCATCCACAAGCCAAATACACCGACAATCCACATGCGAAATACAAGGACCATCCACAAGTCAAATACACCGATCATGTACAAGCGAAATACACCGACCATCCACAAGCGCAAAACACAGACCATCCACAAGCGAAATACACCGGCCATTCACAAGTCAAATACACCGACAATCCACATGCGAAATACAAGGGTCATCGACAAGCCAAATACACCGACCACTCACAAGCCAAATACACCGGCAATCCTCATGCGAAATACAAGGACCATCCACAAGCGAAATATGCCGACTATCCACAATCGTAATATACCGACCATCCACAATTCAAATACACCGGCCAGCTACAAGCCAAATACACCGCCCACCCACAATCCAAATACACCGACAATCCACAAGCGAAATACACCGACCATCCACAAGCGAAATACACCGATTATCAGCTAGCGAAATACAAGGACCATCCACCAGCCAAATACTCCCACAAACGAGAAGTGAATTACACTCACAAGCCAGAAGCGATTTTCGCACACAATCCAACGTGGATTCACGAGCATCAACGGACATACCTGAGACATACATTGGTGTGACTAAATATACCTGTTTAACCAAGCTGCGAGCATTACTACAACGAAGCAACAGGAATGCTCTGTTTATCATGCTTGGCTTGATCATGGCACAACAACTTAGCGGAAACTCTACCATTACGCGGTACCTGGAAGAAGTGATTAATAGAAAAACGGCCTTTATGGATCTGCACGAAGCGAGGATTTTGGTCCAGGCTGTCCCCTGTGTATGTGGCTATTCAATGACTGTAATAGTAGCATATGTTGGAAGAAGAACACTTTTGTTTCTGTCTACAATTGGGTCATGTATACCATTGCTTCTTTTAGCAGGTTATCATTTCTTAGATCTACATAAGTTTGTCGACCCCACCATCTCTATTCTTCCCGTTTACTTCTTAAATTGGTATCAACTATTGTTTCATGTTGGTTTAGGAGTGTTACCCAATGTTCTCCTATGCGAATTATTTCCTGCGGAATTAAAAGGCATTATTGGTGCCATCCTTGTGATTTTCAATGGTTTAATTGGTTTTATCGCGTCGAAACTGTATCAAGTGATGACCGATAATGTAGCATGGTATGCGATTTTCTTTAGCTTCGCGACATCATGCTGGGTGGCATTTGTGATGGTGCTCATATGGGTACCGGAAACAAAAGGAAAAACGTATCGCGAGATTGAAGCGCTTTTAGTTGGTGAAAATTTGAAATCTTTCAATGAGGAAGTTAGCACTGATAAAATGGATAGTCGTGAAATATGACAAGAGAAATTGCACTGTACATCCATGGCACGGTGTCTCCATACTCGGAACATTTTATTTCTCATTTTTATTAGTATAACGATAAAGATCAACAATTTTATCACGATATGCAATTTTTGTAGTAACGTAGTTCTATTCGTTTGTACGTGTAATTTTAGAACTGTGTCTAACAAAGGTAGTGGTCATTTACAAACATATGTATTGCATAAATTGACTTGCATTGAACTCAGAGGAATACATGTTCTCGAACTAAATTTTTTATCCATTTCATAACACGAACAATGTAACAATACCAATTAACTCGAAATAATTGGACAACAGTGTGCAAAAGTAAGAAAAGTAATATATTAGGAAAGGACAAGGTGACATAATACTGATAAGAACAACTT